ATACATACATACATACATACATACATACATACATACATACATACATACATACATACATACACACACACACACACACACACACACACACACACACACATTTCAGTATATCTTAGATATACTGAATTGGCCTAGAAGCAAAAAAAAAAAAAGACTAAAAAGAACATCTTGTTGAAAGTGAAAGAAATAATTGCCAAAGCCAATTTTATGTTCAGTATTAAAGAAAAATTAAAAATAGGACAATGGGCAACACCAACTCAATGGAAATATCAAGTGGGGATGTTGAAGTAGTAATTGGTTTTAGCTTCTCAAACTCAGAAACCGTGAAATAGATACTTACTACTTAGGAGAAAGTCTATAATAGATCTTGACAAAATATTAAAGTGCAGAGACAAAATCACAGCCTTGCCAGTTGCAATATGATACCAAAGGTAATTTAAAAAGACACCATAATAAAAAAAATCAAATAAAATCAGAAAGGCTGAACAAAGAAAGATTCCTTTAAATTGTGGTTCTGAAGAAAATTGTGGAGAACACCAGAAGGAAACAAATAATTCAATACTAAATAAAGTTCACCAGAAGCACTAAAAATGAACCTAAATCTTTAATGCACAATTCAAAGGCAAGATCCTGATGCCTGGATAAGTCAAAGGTAATTTAAAAAGAGACCAAAGCTGACAAGGAAACTAGATTACTGTCCCAGCTCCCAGCCTGAACTTAAGAGAACTCCCACAACTCAGACAAACAGCATTGATGAAATTATAGCTGCCAAGTCACTACTGGTCAGTCACAACTGAACCATAACAATGGGGATTACTCTGGTTTTTATCACCTTCCTCGTTTCTGTTATTTAACAAAAGTAATAAAAGAATCATAACATACTGTTTAAATTGTCCAGTTTTTAATTGCCATCAATTATTTAAATGATGCTTTCGTGCCACTTACTATTGTTCTTTTGTGATTACATTTGTTGAGATTTATGGTGTGGATGCAAAATTCTTTTCATGCAAGATATTCTCATTGAGGGATGGGAGGTAAATTTAATTTTGCCAAGTTATCTTCCCTCTTTCACCCCAGCCCTATGACTTCAGAATGGAGCCAGGGCTGCTAAGTAAAAGGGAATTGTGTAAAATATTCTTCGCCATTAGGAGAATCTTGCATGCCAGGCAGAGGTGTGTTGCTGCGGTTCAGCCCAGATTGGCCGAACCGGTAGTAGCGGCAGCGTATAGTACCGCCCACTCACCTCGATGCTTCTGCCCGTGCAGGAGCACACCTGAACCAGTAGTAAAAAAAATTGGCAATCCACCTCTGATGCCAGGAATAGAGAACATGGCTTTCCAACACTCTCCAACATAACTCTGATCACCATGGTGAATGATGAGGCTTTCTGAAGTTGTGGCTTCATAACAGTGTCCTTTAATCTAAACAGAATCCCTTCCACATACCTAATGGCAATAGCACTTAAAGTTATATACTGCTTCACAGTGCTTTACATCCCTCTCTAAGAGGGTTTGCAGAGTCAGCACATGGCAATTAAAATTCTACACCACTACCATGTTTCCACCAAAATAAGACTGAGTCTTATATTAATTTTTGTTCCAAAAGATACATTATGGCTTATTTTCTGGTTAGGTCTTATTTTGGGGGATATACAGTACAAAAAGCTTCCATCTGCTGGCAATCTTAACTGGGGCTTATTTTGGGGGCTAGGACTTATATTATGAGCATCCTGAAAAAAATCATGCCAGGGCTTATTTTCCAGTTGGGTCTTATTTTTCAGGAAAACAGGGTATTTATATTTGTAAATCACCCAAAAAGAAAATAGAGGTTTTTTTTAAAAAGTCTAAAATTTAAGAGTCAGAGGTAATAAATTTGTCGGAACAGTTATCCCTAGCCTTTCACAGCCAGCACAGAAGTTATATCTGATAGTGATTTCCCACACTCCTCTTCCCTGCTCGGCCTTATTAAAGTCTTATTTCACATTGCTTCCATGCCAGCTCCAGGGCTGACATATTCCTCCCTGTGCTCTGTTGAATGAGCATCAAGAGAAAGAGGATGTTTGATCCAGGAGAGGTAAAACCTCCCAGGATCTTCAGGCAATGCTGTTTCAGTATTTATTCCTTCAGCTCAACTCTTTTGCACAAAATAATGCTCTCTAGCAATAGGTCTCTTCTGCCACCTACAGGCCTCCCCTGTCAACGCAGAGTGCAATCTATCCTATAACCCAGAGGTCTTCAAACTTGGTAACTTTAAGATTTGTGGACTTCAACTCCCAGAATTCTCCAGCCAGCTGGCTGAAGAATTCTGGAAGTTGAAGCCCACAAGTCTTAAAGTTGCCAAGTTTGGGGACCTCTGCATAACCCTTGAAACAACTTCTCAGACAGGATTACGTCTTAAATCTTCACCTTGGAATAAGTTGTGTTTGTCTGTAAACTAAAAAGGCAAACATTCTGCTACTTTACAGCTTGGGTGTAAATCCCTTTTCTAAGAAAACATTTTAATTCTAGAATAGGTATTAGAACTCAAGAGTCTAAAGAAAATAAACAGGATTGCATCCCCCCTGGCCCTACATAAATAGTTTCTGAGAATGAAGCTTTACAGATAGATCCATGCAATTTGGGATTTTATTATAGTAGATACGTTCTGATAAGGAAATGGAATGTTGAAAATGGAAATATAAGTAATATTTCACTGTTGTTGTGAACCTACTGCTAAGGCCTATATTTGAAAATCTGGTTTATGACAAATAAGCCAGGCATCCTTAAGGAGAGAGAATAATGGGGGGGAAAAGATGCAGAGGGCTTACTTTCAGAGGATACCCTATTGTTTTTCATATCACTTGAATTACTCATCTATCAATCATGCCTGTAATATGGAGATCTATATCTTCTGGCTAGTAATTTAAGAAACCAAAGATTGAATAAGCTGTGGCATCACTTCAGAAGAGCACGATTCTTTAACAATAAATGATTCATGTCCATCTGCTTCCCACAGTTCGAAGTGAGTCCAAAGGAGGTCAAATGTTGCTGATTGCTATCCTGGGATCAGCAGGGATGACTTGCCTGACCATACTACTGGCCTTTTTCATTATGCTACAGTTGAAGCGGGCAAATTTCCAGCAGCGCATGGCCCAGGCTTTCCAAAATGTGGTGGTGAGTCCCTCATGCCAGAAGGAGATGCTTGTCTACTTGAAGCAAAGAGATGGCCAAGTTCCCCTCCTAGTGAAGGAGGTTAAACAATGGTGCTCTCATTGTTAGGAAAAATAGTGTGCACCTTTTTTGAAAGAAGAGATTGGACAACCATTTCTCTGAAGGGTTTCCTGCCTGAGCAGAGGGGTTGGACTAGAAGACCTCCAAGGTCCCTTCCAACTCTGTTATTCTGTATTCTGTAATGTCTATTGTAATGCATAGACTCTCTGTGCGTATTCCCTTTGGTTTAGCAAAGGCCCATCTCTCTAACTGAGAGCTCCATGGAGGTTTTACTGCAATTCCATTTCTCACCTTCCCAATGGTTACTAAGATAGCATAGCTTATACTGGTTGGCAGGCACTGAAGCCAGTTGCAGTATTACATAGCCAAGTACACAAAATCATGGAAATCTGGATTTTAAGTGTCCCTTGAAAGCAAGGGAAATCAATTAATATGAAATACTGAAAACCTATCCTGCTTTTGGAAACCTTTCCTTTAAATTCTTTTTAGAAAAAATCAGAGACATAAACACTATCTCCCAAGAAGTTCAATTGATGCAGCATTAAGCAATCTGTTTAACAATTTATCACATGATGCTTGCTTGATTTTTTTACTCAGAGGGATGAACCAGCCGTACAGTTCAATTCGGGAACTCTGACTCTAAGCCGGAAAGCCAAAAATAGCACTGAGCCTACAATCTACCCAGTTTTGGAATGGAATGACATCAAATTTCAAGATGTGATTGGAGAAGGCAACTTTGGGCAAGTTCTGAAAGCCCGAATTAAAAAAGACGGCTTGCGAATGGATGCCGCTATCAAAAGGATGAAAGGTAAGCATCTATCTCAGAGCAAGAAGGGACATCCATGCAGAAAATCTCTGGGAATGCATCTGTTGGCTTTATTTGTCTGATGTGGAATTAGCCTCTGATTTGAATGTGTATTCAGGAAAGAATCCTAATATGTTCAAAATCATATGAAGAGAGCTGAAAACCTCTTAAAAAGAAAGAAAAGCGAGGGCTGTTTGAAAGGCAGGAGGAGAATTCTTACTGAATTTGCTGTTTTTCATTTTTCTACTTGAAATTGCTACCCGTGTTTTTTCCTTGATTGACTCCAAAAGTAACCCAAAACTTAGGCTAGGCCCATGGACTTTGCACAAACTGTGATTTGTTTTTAACTTCAGTTTGTTAATCAAGGTACATGTCAACTGCAAATTCTCACCAACTGTGGCTGCAACTTGTTCAGCGTGCTGGAATCACACTAGTGGTGGGTTCCTATCAGTTCGGACTGGTTCGGCTGAACTGGTAGTGATTCAGCAGCCTGGGTCACTGGAACCAGTAGCGATCCAGGCCTGCCATGCCCCTAAACTGGCTCTTCTTGTTTTTTGCTTCTGGGCATGCACAAAGAACACACGTGCATGCAATGCGCACGCACACAGCGCAGCACAGCCATGAATGAACCGGCAGTAGCAATTGCCAGAAACCATCCCTGAATCACACGCTGCTTAATAACAAAGCAACAAAGTTCCTTATGGTGATTCCTTAATGAGGAATTTCAGGTATCAAAACAACGTTGTGATCCATTTAAAATTACTATTATATGCACAAACATGTTAAAATACAGCTGCCCATTCTTTAGCTGGTGTTATATGCTGTATACCAAGGGCAGATTTTAGTGGTACTTTCTCAAGGTTTTCTACTCCAAGAGCAGCGACTTCTGTAGCACAAAAAACCATATGGAGTATCTGGTTCCTATTCATCTGTCTCCTCCTTCCCAAAATCCCTGGGACATAGAGATAAGGAATGACATATGATAGTGATGTTGAAAGAAATATCCATCTGGTTCAGTTCCAAGCCAGGAGAAAGACACTGGGAACATGGAGGCAGATTGGAAAGTTGGTTTAATGTTGAAGCAGAACCACATAGGTTCTGGGCAGCTGACTATATGGAATGAGAGTGAGGGGTATTTATACCCCTTTGCACTTGAGCTTCCTGTTCCTGTGCAAGAATATGTATTCTATTGTCAGACTCCCATAGGGCCATGTACAAATCCTAGGTGTTTGTTTGAACTACATTTGGTTGAAGTTTGAACTACTGGGGGTGGTGCAACTGAGATGATACAATTGCTTTGGTCAATTCCTATTGTGGCTGAGGGCTAATCCTACCTTTGTTGGATCTTGGGTGAGGGCATTTGCTTATGAATAGAGCTAGCTAACTCTTTATCTCTTAAGCGCTGACATCTGCTGAGGGCTATTAAGAAAGGTGGGGGCTGCTTTCCAAGAGCATGTTTCTCCATTTCTCATCCACGGAAATATAATATCTACCTTTTTAATATTTCCCAAAATATTTCATTCTTCTAGGAGAGGGGTGGGTGCTAACTTTCTACAGTGTTAATATTTAAAGTTGAAATCATGAGCAACCAACCACCACGGTCTAATCTCATTGAATACAATTGGTCATATTTTTGTCTTTTCTTACTATATTTTACTATGCGTTGGCTGTTCTATTGCAGAAACTTATTCAGCAGCTTATAAAACAGCAAGCAAGCAAACCAATGCACTTATAACTATTAAAAATTGTCTTTTTGTTAATTTTTAATAATCTATTACTGGACATAATAAAAAAACAGACGCTATTCATAATATGAACAATATTGTATTAATTAAATGCTGCAAAGATTAATAACTAAAGCCAATAAAATCAAACAACAATTATTTGCAGAATATGCTTCCAAAGACGATCACAGAGATTTTGCTGGAGAACTGGAAGTACTTTGTAAACTTGGACATCATCCTAACATCATAAACCTTTTAGGCGCCTGTGAACATCGAGGTACATTTATTTTCAGTGGATTTCTTTAAAATCATATTAAGGAAAATAATATTATTTGCAGTAGTAGCTATACTGCATGAAAACATTATGATGCAATTTCATTTTCTTACTATGTATGTCCAGGTATCTCTCCTCCAAATTTGGACACTGAAGTCTAGACTAATCATACCCCTTCTCTAGCTACTAGCTTAGGAACACCATGTTGTATTTATACCTTTGGGTAAACTTTGGAAGATCTGGGTGAGAGGCACATAATAAGGAGAAAAGGAAAGATGGGTATTATTCAAAAATGTTTGGCAGCCTGAGTAAGAAACCAGAAAACTAATCTATGTAAATAAATGCTTCTAGAACACTGATTTTCATACTTGGCGACTTTAAGATATGTGGAGTTCAACTTCCATAATTCCCCAGTCAATATACTGACTTGAGAATATTAAGAGTTGTAGTCCACATATTTTAAATTTGCCAAGTTTGAAAAACTCTATACTATCCAAAACAACAACAACAACAACAAACACCTCTATTCTAGAAACTCACCCCATAGGATCTCTCCTGTTGGGAAAAAAATCATTATTCATTCATTTTATGAAATTACAGGTAGCCCTCAAGGCCTCAACATACAACCACAATTGAGCCCAAAATTTTTTATTGTTAAATGAGACATTTGTTAAGTGAATTTTGCCCTATTTTACAATCTGTCTTGCCATAATTATTAACCGAATCTGGTCACCCCATTGACTTTGCTTATCAAAAAGGTTGCAAAAGGTGAACACATGACTCTGGGACACAGCAATGGTCAGTGACGTGCAGTCAGGGGAGGCA